GTACTCTTTATTTGAGTCTAAGTTTTCCTGTTTCTTAATACTTTGTTTAGTATCTGTCTATATTGTATGAGGTATTATGTACACTATTTACATTATTTGGACTATTGTCCTCATATTTGTCGCCATATTTATTACAACGTTTCGGCTGTTGTACACCTCTGGCCTTCTTCAGAACAGTCTACCCCAGTGAGTGAAATAAAGAGTTCAGTTCAACATTCCAACCACCTGAAGAAGGCTAGAGCATACAACGGCCAAAATGTTGTAATAAATATAGCGACAAAGATGAGGACAATAGTCCGAATAATGTAAATAGTGTACATAATACCTCATCACAGAAATATTGACAGATACTGAAGAGCCGAAACGTTGTAATAGATATACTGACAAAGATGAGGACAATAGTCCGAATAATGTGAATAATGTACATAATACCTCATTTCAGAAATATAGACAGATACTGAAATGCCAAATCCTTGTAATAAATATGGCGACAAAGATGAGGACAATAGTCCGAATAATGTAAATAGTGTACTTTGTTTGGCTTTTGGAAAGCATCTTTTTTGTCCAATGAACCATCAGATTTTGGTGCCAGATTTTCCATCATTTGTTAAAACTCTACCCAGATATTTAAACTTCTATAGTTGCTTAATTTTTATATTTCCAATTTGTAGCTCGCATCCTGGGGTGTTCCACTTGCTGATGACCATCCATTCTATTTTTTATAATTGATAGTTATTCCTTTCTTCAGGCTTTTCTTTACTACCTTGTCTAGGATATCCTGCATTTTTTCTGCATTTGCAATCAACATGCTGTCATCTGTGTATCTTCTGTTGTTAAGATTGTGTTCACCAATAATAAATTGGTATTGGTAACAAGTTGATATGTCCCAGAAAGGGATATATTTGTTCGAAGTAGCAAAGTGGTTGTTGACTATTGTAACCGAGTAGGACAATCTAGCAGGTAACCATAATGGACTGGTCCTCGTCGTAGTGGTAGGCAATAGGCGAATACAATAGGCGTCATCCCTGTACCTCCACATCAGTCTGTATTTATGGCTGACACCAGCCAATCATATTACTGTGAGGGGGAACACAGGTGTATGCATATTCATTACATCACAAGTGAATTTCTATGCACACTGGATTGCTAGCCAGATGCTGAAGATGGATTGTCTACCAGGTATAAATTTTGGGTGGAGGGAGAAATGGATTCATGCCTTTCCCAAGGATAGTGTTCTCTGTGCCATTAACTGTTAGGCTATTTGCACCTTTTCAGATGTGAAATTGGAATCAGCAGCAAAAGAATTTAAAATGATTTTCTGCTATTCAAACAGCCGTGTAATTTGATGCCTTCTCTTAGAAATTTAAAAGCGATTGAAAACAGGCTTTCTCTCAATTTTAGGTCAGCCAAGTGATAATTGATTGGAAATATCTTCTACAGGCTACCAAGCTATTTGTTGTATATTTGACAAAGAAATCAAACTAAAAATAAAAATGAAGATTTGCATAGTGAGGTCAATGCAAAAAGGATTTGCATAGTGAGGTCAATGAAAAAGGAAGTATATCAATAAAACATAGATTATAGAAGATTTAACAAAAAACAAGTTCCTGGAGTTAAATTTGACAAATTGACCAGCAACATTAATCATCTTTGTTGAAGACCTTTATATAATTTCCAGTTGAAACCAGTTTTAAATGCAGTTTTATTGTTTCAGTCTGAATTTCTGGGATGAGGATTTATCATTATTTACATTATTTATGTGCAGATTAATTTCCTCATCTTTGTTGCTTTTATCACAACATTTTACCTATTATGCCCATGGAATAACAGCCTAATTGATTAAAGTGTTGGCTCATGAATTCAGTAACAGTAATTGTGAGTTCAATCCCTGTGCTGTGAAATTTAAAATACATTGAAAGGTACCCGGATTGACAAACATCTGATGAAGTGGCAAAACCTCCTGATAATAAGAGTAAAGATGAGAGTCAGTCTTATTTAGGAATTAAGAACAATAACCCCTCGGCCCCACAAAAAAAAAAAAGCACAGGGAAAAAACTAAATTTTATACATGCTTTGGGCACAATGTACTTGAAACATTTCACTGAATGAATGAGTTGGTTGTTCTAAATCATCGATGTAATATTTTTTTTATTCAGTAACCTATTTTTCTCTTTCTTCAAGAAAAATTGACACCTACTTTAATGTTTAATTTAACTCACCAAAACCAATTTCCGAATGCAGCATTTCAAAATGGTAATAACCTAAAATGTTTTCCAAAAAATAACAAGCAGAAATTCTCTTTGAAGTGCATTTCTCATAAAATTCTTTAGCACAATTTGTATAGAAACGCTATCCTCGAATGTCTATCATGGAAAGATTTCCACTTACTGTAACATTGAAAAATGGTTCTCACACAAGAACATTTCATTATTTAATGGCTTTTATCGACTGACACCCACCAGCAGAGAAATACAAAATCCTTTTATACAATTTACATCCATTATTTTTTTTTAAGAAGAAGAATTCTTAGAAAGTGTCCCTAAAAAATAATTAGAAAAAAGGGTTACTTGCTGGACTTTTTTTTTCATAAGTCTCTTGTCTTTTGTTGATAATATTTACATAGCTGCCCTATTTTTCTTGATGGTATTGTGGCCAATATTATAACTTGAGGTGAGAAGGTGGAAAATGCAACTAAGAAGAATAGATTAGAAGGAGAAAAAAAGAAGAAAAATGAAGAAATGAATGAAAGAAAGGAAAAGAGATGTAGAAGGAATTCATATGAAAAATAAAAGAAAGAATAAGTGCTAATGATTGAAAGAAATTATAAAATATATATGAAGGAAACAAATAAGAAAGAAAAAGAAGAAAAGAAAAGAGATGAAAAGAAAGAATGTTAAATGTGAACAGTGAAGAAAGAGTTAAGAATGAAAAAGAATACAGTAAGGAACAATGATAGCAATAAAGTAGAAAGAAAAGAAAAGAAAGAAAACAATGATGAGAAGAAAAGAGAGAAAAAGGCTCAGGAAGGAAATGAAATCTAAGAGATGATTGAAAAAAAGGAATGAAAAAAGAACTCAAGAAGAAAAGAAAAATGCAAACAAGGAAAAACAGGAAGAAAAAAAAGAAGGAAGAGTTTTATATTCAGCTGAAACATACAGATGATTGCGGCTATCCAAGATAGTATTACTTACACCCACACCGATCCATTACTCAACTTGAAAGTCGATTCAATGAGAACAAAAATAAAAAAGAGCTATCATCGAATGCCGAAATATAATTCCATGTCTCAAGAGATAAAGGAAGAAACAGGAAAAATAAGAATTATGCAAAGAAAGAAAAATGAAACAAAAGAAAAAATACAAAAGTAAATCAATACTGAGAATGAAAATAAGAATGAAAAAAGATCAATGAATTTCTAAAAGAAATAAAAGAATTAAAAGAAAGGCAGAAGAAAGAAAATCAACAACACACTGGGGGATCAATAAATCTGTAACCTGAAAGTTATTAGCTGAATTTTGATCTGAGATTTTTACTGTATAATGTTTGATCTGTGTGAACTGTACAGAAACATTGGATTAAATGCATTGATAAGGAAGAAAGATTGTATTGAAAAAGTTTGTTTAAAATAAATGCTTTTTTTTTATCATTAGGTTACGGATATAAATGTTGTATAAGAATGGAAAAAGAAAGAAGAAAGAAAAGAATAAATTTATAAAAAACAAAAATATTTTAAATGATCGAAGAAAAGAATGAAAAATACATTAAAAGAAAAAAATGTGTGTAAAAAAATTAATTGTTGCTAAATGAATAAATCAATAAAGATTGGAAATACTGAAAAATAGATGAAATGAAGGAAGAGCATTATTTACAGGCAGACTATTGTCCCTATTTCGACAGTTGTGCACTCCAGCCTTCATCAGGTACTTGTCAATCTGGGTAATCTTCAGCAAATTTTGAACTGAAACCTTTATTTAATCTATGGAGCTTGTTCCCGTTCCACTTACGACATCTCTTCTAGTTCTTATTTCAGTTCTGCTTGGTTATTGCTCATCACCCTGTTTCCATTGAGTCCAAGTACCCACAGACAGGGATTGAACTCACAATTTCTGCGTTAATCTCCTAGTAGATTAAAATGTGAATTTGGGGAAGGCTAGAGAGCACAACAGCCGAAACATTGTGATAGCAACAACAAAGATGGGGACAATAGTTCGCATATAAATAATGCAAATGATGATAACACATCATGACTAGACACAAAGAGTTGTGAGTTCAATACCAGGCCACAGCAGTGGTGAACCAAAAATTGGAGAGTTAAAGAGAAATAACTGAGACAACCAGAAGAACCACATCACGTGGAACTAGAACAATCTACACTGGTGGATGAAATAAAGGGTTCAGTTTGAAATTCCAATCACCTGAAGAAGGCCGGAACATACAATGGCTGAAATGTTGTGAATATGGCAATGAAGATGGGGATAACAGTCTGAGTAATATAAATAATGCAATTACTCATAATACCTCAAATCAGAGACCAAATGAAATGAAGAAGGCTGGAGCGTACAATGGCCGAAACGTTGTGAATATGGCAATGAAGATGAGGATAACAGTCTGAGTAATGTAAATATGACAAGTAATCATAATATCTCATCTCAGAGATCCAATCACCTGAAGAAGGCCGGAGCGTACAATGGCCGAAACGTAGTGAATACGGCTATGAAGATGAGGATAACGGTTCAAGTAATGTAAATAATGCATGTAGAAATGGAGAATAATTTACAAAAACTGTAAAAACAGAAACTGAAAGATTGACTTAAAGGGGAGGACAAGAAAATGATCGGTTTCATAAAAAAAGATAGATTTTCTAAATATCTGGGTTCAAGTAGACATGTAGTGACAAAAAAGTGAACAAATATGAAGTATCTCGGGGGCGGGGAGCATTTGTTATTTCCTCTCCACATGAACTTATGCTATAATAAAAGAAGAATGAAGAAAAAGAATGATTAGAAGAAATTAAAATGGATGAAATGAAAGAAATGAAAAAGAAAAAAGAAAAAATAAGAAAGAAAATAAAATGTCAAGAAAAGCAAAAGTAAAAATGAAAGAAAATTATTTAAAGAAGAATGAAAAAAGAATAGAGAAAATATAAAATAAAGAACAGATAAGAAGATCAAGTGAAGTAAAGAAGGAAGAATTATCTGGAAAAAAGTAAAAGGTAAAACCTGAATAAATAATTAAAAAACATTAAGAGAAGTGAAAGTGAAAGAAATTAAAGAAGATTATATAATGAAAAATGAAAGAAAAAAGAAATAAAAGAAATTGAAAAAATAATAAGAAAAAAAATTGTATAAATGAATGAAAATTATATGAAAGGAGAACAGTGGATAAGGAGAACAGTGGATAAGGAGAACAGTGGATAAAGAGAACAGTGGATAAGGAGACAGGAGAACAGTGGATAAGGAGAACAGTGGATAAGGAGAACAGTGGATAAGGAGAACAGTGGATAAGGTGAAGAAAAGAAATAACACCCTCACCCAGCTCTAACCCCGCAAATAAAAATGAGGAAATAAATAAGTGAGAAGTAATAAAAAAATGTAAACTTTCTCACATTCTGAGTTTTTATAATATAAAGCTGGGCTATGTTAGTAGATAGGTCAGGTGTTGGAGATTATATTGTCTTTTCTTTCTTTTGACTTTCATATGTTTTTAAATATTTTCTTTCTTTTACAGTTTTTCTCTCTTGTTTCCAAGTTTGTAATATTTTTTTCTTTTAATGTCTATATTATATTTATATTGTACATTTTATTTATTTCTTTTTTGTTCCTTTTTTCTTTGTAGTTTGAGTGGTTTTGAAGGCATTCATTGTAGATGCAGAGATCTAGTGAATATTCCTCTTGTCACTGTCTGGCTGACAGTGGAGTTTTGAATACTTTATGCTTGCAAAAAAAAAAGAAGAAAAGTTATATCCAATGCATTTTTCAGTGCAAATCGAAGCTGTATCATTTTTCTATGTGTCTTTGCATCAATAATGACCTGGTTATCAGAAACAGTAAAACAGGATGGAACAAAAGATGCAGAGAGAAACAGAAAGAGAGAAAGATAGAAATATAGAAGAACAGAAGTATTAATTAATGCAAACATGCTGTGTAGGAAATAAACAGCAGCTCTAAATGTTCTGCTACAGCAAAGTTTATACATCCATATTATATATATATATATATATATATATATATATATATGTAACTGATACTATGGCTGAGGGGTTAGAAATGTTTGCTTTCTAACCATGGGACATGGGTTTGAATTTCACCATGGTCGGTTTGTCAGAAAGGTGACTTCTTGATGTTATCCATCTGCAGGGGACGATCACAGGATGTGGCACATTTGGAAAATGCCTGAAAACCATATCACGTGTTGACCCAAGCCCTGTGAGTGAAATTGGGTAGATGGAACCTAGGGGATATATATATATATATATATATATATATATATATATATATATGCATATATATATATATATATATATATATATATATATATATATATATATATATATATATATATATATATATATATATATATATATATATATATATATATATATATATATATATATATATATATATATATATATATATATATATATATATATATATATATATATATATATATATATATATATATATATATATATATGTACATATATATATATATATATATATATATATATATATATATATATATATATATATATATATATATATATATATATATATGTATATATATATATATATATATATATATATATATATATATATATATATATATATATATATATATATATATATATATATATATATATATATATATATATATATATATATATATATGTACTATATATATATATATATGTACATATATATATATATATATATGTATATATATATATATATATATATATATATATATATATATATATATATGTACACACACACCCATATATATATATATATGTATGTATATATATATATACATACACACATATATATATATATACATATAAATATGTAGACATATATATATATATACATATATGTGTATATATATATATATATATATATATATATGAATTTGTATATATATATATAAATATATATATATATATATATATGCATATATATATATATATATATATGTATATATATATATATATATATATATTGTTTAAAATTTTCTATATTTGCATGAGTGTTTATATTGGTACATAGTATTGATATAGGGATCAACACTACATGAGACTTCAGGTCAAGATTGTATTGAGGTGTAAACTTAACAGTAACCATGCAGTATTGATTTCTATGTCCACACTATCTATCTATCTATCAATCACTGTCTATTGTGACATTGTACTCTACATATTGTCACTGAATAACCTGTGATGTAATTCAAGACCCGGTTGTATTCATATATATACACACCGACTACTTATCTTCACAGGATTTGTCTTCTTGGCATTGATTGAATTCAGTAAAGAATAATGACAAATGTTTTTCAAGACACTGGCTGGAAAATGGCAACCATATGATTTCTCACTTAGTCATCTATTTCTTTTTTCACCTTCATTGAGGTTTACTGCTTTTTTTACTAACTTACATCCATGGAAAGAGAACCTTTACATCCATTGCTAATGATTTCAGTTGACTTCTGATTCACTCACTGCTGATCCTTTCCTTAGTGGCCAAATGTCCCTTACTGCTAAATTCCTGCGTCTCTCTCTGCTCATATGGATACTGGCTAGAGTTAACCCCTCCCCACACCCATCCAATGCTGTCCCGGAAAAGTAGATCACTCAAAAGCTGGATGGGGGGTCAGTTCTTCAAAGGACTCTACTTTTATGATTATCTAAAATCATTAACAAAGTTTTATCTTTACCAATTCAAGGGCAGGCTAAGGACAGGATTCCTGAAAACTCTGGCAATTAAACTGACTTAAAGATCGACTGTTAATGAAATTTCCAAGAATAATCAAATCAACTTAAAAGAAAAAGAATCTATCAAGTTATCTTCTAAGGATGTGTGAGAAATCATATTGTTACACTATTTATATAATTGATATATAACGGTAGGTAGTATCTGTCTATATTTCTGAGGTGAGGTATTATGTACATTATTTACATTATTCGGACTATTGTAATGTAAATAAAGATAGGCAGATTGATATGAACAGGCTTTGATAGGTAGATAGATTAATATAAGTAGTGTGACATATATATATATATATATATATATATAGATATGAACAGATGAAGCTAGATAGATTTACACTATTTACATTGTTTGGACTGTTGTCCTCATCTTTTGCAGGTAATATTGTTCCTTCAAAAATATATTGCTACTATTTTTTTTACAAAAAAGCATTGCTAGTAATATTTATTGTTTAAAAATATTGTTGGTAATATTTTTTCAAAAATGTATTGCTGGTAATAGCTTTTTTTTTTCTTCAAAAATCTATTGCTGGAAATAATTTTTTACAAACTATTTTTGGTATTAAAACCTATTTTTACATTTTCATAGTGTTTTTATCCCAGTTTCAGGGTTAACTATTTGCCCATGGCTGGGACCCTAACAGTTACTACCACCCCGAGTCAGGGCAGACATGGGAACACCAGCAATTAAGAGGTGGTTCCATGCTCCTCAAAACCTCCTGATAAGAGTCCTTGCTGCTGGATGTAGTTTATCGTCATACCCAGGATGGGAGATAGATAGGAACAGTGATAAATAGATAGATAGATAGATAGATAGATAGATAGATAGATAGATAGATAGATAGATAGATAGATAGTGAAAGAGAGGCAGGAACAGAATGAGATAGATAGATAGATAGATAGATAGTGAAAGAGAGGCAGGAACAGAATGAGATAGATAGATAGATAGATAGATATGATAGATAGATAGATAGATAGATGATAGATAGATGAATAGATAGTGAAAGATGGGCAGGAACAGAATGAGATAGATAGATAGATAGATAGATAGATAGATAGATAGATAGATAGAAGATAGTGAAAGAGAGGCAGGAACAGAATGAGATAGATAGATAGATAGATAGATGATAGATAGATAGTGAAAGAGAGGCAGGAACAGAATGAGATAGATAGATAGATAGATAGATAGATATAGATAGATAGATAGATAGATAGATAGATAGTGAAAGAGGGCAGGAAACAGAATGAGAGATAGATAGATAGATGATAGATAGATAGATGAAGAGAGATGAATAGAATGATAGATAGATAGATAGATAGATAGATGGATAGTGAAGGAGGCAGGGAACAGATGAGATAGATAGATAGATAGATAGATAGATGATAGATAGATGGGGCAGGAACAGAATGAGATAGATAGATAGATAGATAGATAGTGAAAGAGAGGGGCAGGAACAGAATGAGATAGATAGATAGATAGATAGATAGATAGATAGAAAGAAAGAAAGAAACAGACTGATATATATATATATATATATATATATATATATATATACATATATATAGAGAGAGAGAGAGAGAGAGAGCGAGAGAGAGAGAGAGAGATGAACAGACTGCTGAGATAGATAGTTGGTTACAAAGGTTTATACTTGTGAGGGAGGAAAACTTGTAACTTTTGATGTTACAATCTTTTATAATTTTGTATATTATATTTTTTATTTGATGACTTGTTGTCAACCATTATTTATTTTTTACAAGTATTTCTTTAATCTTAATTTTGTTTGCTTTTTATTACAACCATTGACAACATCAAAATCTATGACTGCCAGCCATTACAAGGTTCAATCTCAGTGATTCATCTTCAGCTAAGTGTATTGATAAAGATGGAAATGATGATGAAAAATAAATATTTGTTGTGGCAAATAATTGTTTTTTATCATTAAGTGATAAACTTATTGATTTACCAACACATTTTTACATATATTTTATATATATTAATATTTTATATATATTTATATTTTATATATATTTATATTTTATGTATATTTGCCTGACATCATAGGTTCCCAAGTTGGCATCTATGCAAAAGACACTACAATTTACTTCTGCCTCAAAAACAAATCTAGTGTCATTGATTAAACTAACCTGGCCGTTCGTCTCGAAAAGGACCTCCAATCGGTTGTAAACTGGAACAGGAATTGGCTGGTTAACTTTAACGCCTCAAAAACAAAACTGCTCTATATTACTTACCACAGAGATCACATTAGAATGTCTGATGCTCAACTTCTCAAGAGCACCTCTTTGCGGCTGCTTGGTCTCACATTGACTGCTGACCTGAGATGGAACAAATACATTGAGTCAATTGCTTCATCCACCGCAAGGAAAGTTGGCTCCCAGTGCCACGCCAGGAAATTTTTCTCCCTGGAATCAATCCTTCAAATCTACAAATCAACCATTTGCCCTTGCATGGAGTATTGCTGCCATATATGGTCTGGAGCCCCGTCTCTTTGCCTCAGGGTTCTTGACAAGATCCAGAGACGGATATGCAATGTAATTGGCCCTGATCTGGCATCTCGTCTGCAGTCGTTCTCTCACAGACATGCAGTCGCCTCTCTCTGTCTTTTTTTACAAATACTTTCATGGTAATTGCTCCAATGAGCTGCATTCGCTGGTTCCCAGACTTCATGAATTCAAGCGTTCTACTAGGCTGGCATCCCGCTTCCAACCTTTCACTGTTGAAACTGTTAAATGTAGCAGTCTCTTCTACTCCAATAGCTTCATATCTCGCACCTCTCGCCTGTGGAACTCCCTTCCCTTTTCCTGTTTCCAGGATAGCTATAATCTCCAACTATTCAAATGTAATGTCAATCGACATCTCCAGTTGCCTTGATCTATCCACTATTCTTCTCCTCGTCCTTTCAGTCCTATCTGCTTTCCAAATCCTCTGTAACCCATTGTGTGCTAGTGGCTTCCTTCCTTGCTTGGGGTGAAATGCTTTAAAAAAAATATATATATATATATATATTTATATATTATGTACATTTCTGCCTAGCATAATCCCATATTTCAAACAAGAACAAGTTTCTTTATAGGACTTGGTGCAAAAAGTGTTTGCATTTATTGTAATTGAATCTGAAACAGTTCAATCATTATTTATAAATAAACATATTTTTAGATGAACTGAAATCAATTCTCTTCTGTTCATTCTGACCAAGCAATACTGGTCAATTTTGTCTTTTATTTCTATCCAGTTACACTTTGAAGGAATCAATAAGAAACTGGAAAGGAAGGAAAAGGATAAGAAAAAGTAACAAAAACAGTAACAAAAAAAAGAGTATTGCTTTTGTTTAAAGCATTCTAAGATGCACTTTGAGAATTGATACTAAAATGTTTTTCCTTTGCTTCTGAAACTTCTGATAGGGGAATAAAAGCAAAGTTGATCATAATTTGACTGAGATCACCTTTGACCTTCATTTTCATTCAACTGGACAATTTGCTTTCCTCTATAAAGATCTCAGAAATGCTTTTAACCAATGCACACATGTACTAATACAATCTACAGGGTCATGCAATTATATATATATATATATATATATATATATACACACACACACACACACACACACACACACACACACACACACTTGCAGTGGAGTAGAGGGCAGTGGCTTGTATTGAGGAATTGGAGAGTTTGGAGAGCAAAGTTCAAATTCCAGTCAAATCCATTACATTCGCTTACATGTTAATACCCTTGGGAAAGATATTAATCCTCTTCTCCCCCTCTAACTATGGGTAAATAGCAGGACAAACTGGGTTCTATAGCCTTGGATGGCAAATGGTCTAGGAAAAGGACAATTCTGAATTCAAAACCTGCAGAGGGTCGTTTGTGGACCTTGTGGCACATAGTGCACCAAGTTTCTGTAATCGACCCTTCAAAAAATGTGGATAGTTCTGCAAAAATCCTTCACCACTATAATCAAATCATATGTGCTGGTGTCTGGGTTGTCGGTTCCTAGGAAATGAGTTGCTTGACCCTCATATGTTGAATACAATGGGAGAGTCCGACATATATAAGAAGCACTTGCTGGTCTATGGTTGTTGGATCTGAGGAGGTAATTTAATTTATTGCCTCTCTTATTCACAAAAATTCCAACATATTTTCTTTATACCCAGTTTTGTCTTTCATTCTGACCTGAAGAAGCCGAACCTAACACATGTCACATCAGTGAACCGTGTCATTTAAAAGCTTTTCCATGTTGTCACAGACACACATACATATATAATGAAAGCTGTCTCTCAATTTTGATCAATGTTGTCATTTGATCCTTGCTCAAATATGGGAAGCATGGATGTGACTTTGTAGTTCTGTTCGTGTGTTGGATCTTTGATGATTTTTGAGCTCTGCTCTTGAGTTTGCATAATGCCAATCCCAGTCTCTGAACTTCAAATACATTTGCTCTAAAAGAAGAATTGGTCAACATCATTAGATGCAAATGAAGTCGAGGGTATAATATATATATGAGAGAGAGAGAGACAGACAGACAGACAGACAGACAGAGATTGTGATAGTTATGCGCATGCTGAGAGATAGATATAGACAAACTGAAATCAATTGATCAATCAACAAAGATGGATGTATATAGATATGAACAGACCACGATATACAGATAGATAGAATTAATAGACTAAGATAGACAGATAAAATGAATAGAATAAGATAGATAGATAGATAGATAGATAGATAGATAGATAGATGAAACTGAGATAGATATGTATAGACTAAGATAGATAGAATGAACACAGAATGAACATACTAAGATAGACAAATAGAATGAATAGACTAAGACAGACAGAGAGATAGACAGATAGATGAACAGACGGAGATAGATAGATAGATAGATAGATAGATAGATAGAGAGATAGATAGATAGATAGATAAACAGAATGAACAGCCAAATAGAGAGATAAAAATGAACAGGCTAAGATAAACACACAGATAGATATACTCAGACTAAGGTAGATAGAATGAACAGACTAAAACAGACAGACAGATATAACAGATCATGATAGGTTGATAGATCTGGACAGAATGAGATAGATACATAGATAGCTAGCAAACTTGACAGATAGAAATCAACAGTACATAGAGACTGTGTGTCATATGTATTGAACAATAATCAGAGTATAGTTAACACATAAAACTGAGAGTTACCCTGCTGCAATATTGATTCATATTGATCACTCTCTCCCTATAAATATAGTAATTTTTTGCTGAATATATATATATTAATATATATTTTCTGTTTATATGTCATTTTAATAACTACAATTTATTTAAGAATCATATCTGCTAACTAAACATACTTTAACACAAACAGTAATAACATTAAGAAATGGATTAAGTCTGACAATTATTTAATATATCTTATGTTTATACATTATTTTTATAGATATGGTCTTAATCCATTTCATATGTTGTCAATGTTTATGTTAAAGTACATTTTATGAGCAGATACATTCATTTGGGAAAGATCATTGAAGATTTGTTGTTTATAAACTTGTAATTTGAACTTTGCTAATCAGAAACTCCTTTGTAGCTGAGTGGTACAGCATGTCAGATCAATCGATGGTTCTGTACAGGACACAGATTCGATTCTTGTTGGAGAATGCATATTTTCTACAAAATTTCTTGGACATTCAGTTTGGTAAATGTAATTAATACTGTTTATTTAAAAAACAGAGAATTTACTTAAATAAATTGTATCGATAAAAATAATGTATAAACATAAAATATATTAAATAATTGTCAGACTTAATCCATTACATATTATATATATATATATATATATATATATATATATATATATATATATATGTGTGTGTGTGTGTGTATGTGTTTAAAAATATATAGGAAATAGGAAAGAACTTGTTAGGTAAATAATCGAAAGTTCTTTAGTATTTTTGTTATTATTTTAAAAAACAGTGCTCAATACAAAAGTAGAGCCTAAATATAATTATTTATTTAAAGATATGATTCTATCGTTACATAAAAGTTCTCATGTTTCAAAACAAGAGCTGAAAACTTCAATATAATTATTTGAATTAAATTGAATTAAAGTACTAAGCTCTGTTCCATCTTTAAGTGAAATTTTTTGGGAATAACTAATTCTTGAAATTTACACATTTTATAAGCATATTCATTATTAAAATTAAAATTACTATGGTAAAGGCTAGAGCAATTATTTAAAAAAAAGTGGTGTAAGGGTTAATAATTTGTATCAATTTCACAGTTACATTCAAAGAGGTCAAGTCAGGGTAAGGTTGGGGTGTCTAAATTCAAAGCAGAAAATGACATCGTCTAGTCAGGTTAAGTGTCTATGGAGATTTATTTTATTTTTAATTAGTAATTAATTAATTAATTTATTTTAATTAGTACTTAAATTCAATTTAATTCAAATAATTATATTAAAAAAATGAAAGTTTTTTTGGCCTTTTCTTCATTTTGAAACATGAGAACTCTTATCCAAAAGTAAAACAGATAACTGATTTAAAAGATCAGCTTTCCGTTTAATGTGGTCACGTCGTAGTCATCATATTTTAAATAAATAATTATATATATATATATATATAGACAAGCAAGTGTAAATGGATATAAATCCGACAGAATGTAGAAATTTTGAAAAACAAACAAAAATCCATAAATGTAGTTAAAAATGAAAGAATTGTCAACGTCAGACGTTTCGGTTTTAATAAACCATTTTCAAGACAAAATTCATTAAAATACAAATTCAGTTCAATATGACGAAAACGATGGACATAAAAACACAAGTCTTATCCAAGAGTAAAACAGATAACTGAAAATTTTTAAAAAGATCAGCTTTCCGTTTAATGTGGTCACGTCGTAGTCACATGGGCGACAACTTTTCATAACGTATTCCTAAAAGTTAAATGATTACTTTAAAATTCCTGTATCTCCGGACAAACCTGCAATCTTCCATGTTGTAAAAAACGAATTTAGGTTTGTGTTTTCAGTAGACAGTATATAAGCAAGTGTAAATGGATATAAATCCGACAGAATGTAGAAATTTTGAAAAACAAACAAAAATCCATAAATGTAGTTAAAAATGAAAGAATTGTCGACGTCAGAATTTTGTCTTGAAAATGGTTTATTAAAACCGAAAACGTCTGACGTCGACAATTCTTTCATTTTTAACTACATTTATGGATTTTTGTTTGTTTTTCAAAATTTCTACATATATATATATATATATATATATATATATATATATTCTAAAGAAGCAATGAATTTTTGTTTCTTAATCCAGTGTATTTTTATCATTTTAAACATTATTTTTAATAGATACACATATTTGAGTAGAGGCTCCATTTATTTAGTAAACTCTATATTCAGTTATTTCCATCTATCTGTTTGAATAATTAAGGAATCTTATTAAAATAAACTATGCTCTCTCTGGCAAATAGTTGAGCTGATGATGCCAATGAAAACACAAGGTTTTTCCCGAGTGAAACACATCTTTGATTAAAAATTTTACGCTTTGTCTCATTATCTACACGCACACACACACACACACACACACACACACACACACACACACACACACACATATATATATGTATATTAATACACAATAAAATCCCAAATCACCTCATATTGTGAATTAGCTTATTTTGACCAGCAAAAATATAATTTGTCAGTCATATTCGAACCTAGTATACACTGAGTTTGTGTCGGAAATAGAAATTTAACTGTAAAAGCTATAATAAAAACATTGAAAAAACTATTACAGAATTTATCCATTTCAATGTTTCAGTCAAACAAGAGGCATGAGATGTTAGTCAGGGGAGCGTGGAAGGTATTTGTCTTAAAAGGAAGAGGTTTTATAAAATTAAACCTGAACATTAACCTTATGACATCAAATTGGGCTTATATGAAGAATGAAATGTTAATTTAAAACTAAAAGAGGAATAAAAAGGGGTTTAAAAATCTTTAAAATATATATATATATATTTTAAATAAAAAGTCATACTTAAAAGTATAAAATCATATTCCAAAAACAAGATATATTTAAATATAAGATATAATTAAATAAGTTATATTTAAATAATTTATATTAAAAAATTACCTTTTTTGATTATGAGTGCATATTGTGTGTCCAGAAAGTATATATATATTGTCTTAATGTTTATGATTGTATGCTTTCAACAATAATTCTGATCATTTCAAGACACATATATATTATTCAATAAAGATATCTTAATATTTCAATATTTATTTTCATCATCCCCAGAACTTGTTCTAGAAATAAGAAAGTCATATTGAATATAGAATAAAGTTGTTTTTCTATTGACACTGCAATTACCATAAAATTGGTTGGATAATTTTTATTGTTTTAAAAAGCTGTTTTTGAATTTTATTCAAATCTTAAAATATGAAACTGAAGTTAGACATGTCATAAAAATTTATGAACATATAATTATTGCCCTTATAAAAAAAAAATAAGAATTAGGTAATCATGCTTAATTACGGCAAGAAAAAAGTTATTATTATTTAAGAGGTTTATTTTTTTACAAAAAGAAAATGAAAAGATGTTGAATAAAACTCCTAAATAAGACAATTGTGATAAGAAAGATGACACAGTAGTTCATATGTCAAATGATCTAAATAATGATAATTCCTCATCCCAGAAATTTAGTCAGAAATTAAGCGAAATTGCTAACAAACCAATTAGAAAATTGAAAATATTACGTCGAAGTTGATTGGAATTTCTTTCTTTCCTTTTAATTACACATTTTAGAGTTTGGTTGTTTTATATTCAGAAGAGCCTGAAGCAGATAATAAGGAGATCTTATACTAATTATTTTTAAGATTGAACAGGAATTGTCATCTCATGGGCTCAGGTTCTAGTGTTTCTTTGATACAGAAATCAATGATTCAAGTTCAACATTTCTGAGTTAGAAAACTGTTTATAAAAATTCACAAAGAAACAAATATGCTTCAAAAAAAAAAATAATAGGCTTAATCAACCTCACATAACTTTTCCCGTCTTTTTTCGATGAGGGTTTTTATAAAATTGGAACTATTTTTGTCATTTAGAATCGTCTCTTACCAGGAGAGCTTAATTGAAGAATTCTAAGAACCTCTTCTATTACAATTGGTCACAGACAAGACTTAATCTATGCCAAAAAAAATCATTAACTCAAAATACACAAAGATTTGTTAGTAAATACTGATGATTGGACAAAATGCACATTTAATAAACTTAACTTTAAAATTGTTGACTTGTGTTAAAATTAACTACACATGTGTTTATTTCTGAATATTAAATTCATTCTTTGTATTGTAAATGTCTTTCTATAGAGGATAGAAAATAGATTTTTTACACAGTGTCCTTCAGAGAAGCCAAGTGCAGTGGCAACCATGAAAAGTGAACATATATTGGCCCAGTTGCACCTGGAAGACAAATGTAAGAAATAATTACATCACAGAAATAGATATATAAACACCCACCCTAGAGTTACAGGGGCAGTTCCCCCTCTCAGTTTACATTTTGGATGAGGAGCCCAGAGACTTGAAAATTTACACAGGATGATAGTAATTGACAAAATACCAAAGTGAAATAAAATTCATTATTTTTGTGTTACTTTTTGTTCTTTATACAGTTCTTCAGTGAATCCATTTGATAGAATTCTTCAGCTGCTAAATCTTTTTATTCAAGTATTGGTTAAATAGCAAAGTAGACTGGTCTCTCTAGCCTTGGAATATGTGGTGAAAGCACATCAGTATAGATGCAGAAGAAACTCCAGGTCACATGTGGACATATCTGTCAAAACCATTTACATCTGGGTTTTCCTCATTAGCAGTGGGACAACTTAGCATGTTCAGATATGGGCCTTTCTGCAACTTGTTTAGCTCCAAGTTTCAGCCATCATCTCCTGCCAATAAAGACGACAGGAAAACCAACAGTCAGTGGTGGGAAAAACTCAATGTCTTGTGAAGTTGGTCCTGTGGACATTTTGTTCTTAAAGCTGCTGTACCATGTAAGGCAGTGTCATTTTGTTACCTCTCGTTGCATTTCCTTTCTCTGATAGCGGCTGGGAGAGCTATTATTTAGCTGCTTTCCCCAACCCAATACACCCTTGCAATAGTTTAGAACCAATCTATAAGAAGGTAAATTCCAAATTCAAACCATTGAGAAGGTAATGGAAAACCATTCTGTTACTTTCCAAAGAACAATCATGGCAATTTACAAATATTGATGAAAGGAAGTTATCGAGAAATATGATTATCTATATCTTGATAGGATATGGCATTTTAAAACATCATAGACAACTCTTTTCCTGCAACACATTCAAGAACGTTTTGTGAGATCATGTTTTCTAATATTGCAATTATACAAAGAAAAAATATTTCTAAATATCAGTTTGAATAAACCAGGTATTGTGATAAAATGAAATTGTATATCAAAACTAAGTTAGTCCTTTGTGGCGATGGAGAAGTAAACAAAGTCTTACCTGGAAAAAGAATTTGCTTCTCTGTACTGTTAGTTGGAAAAGAAAATCAAATCAAGATTTGTTCTAGTTAGTAAAGACTTGAAATTTAGTATATCTTGCATTTACCTATCAGTTTTGAATAATTAAAGCCTTTCTTTTTGGTCAGGCATTTTTAGGTTATGAGTCATGGATGTGGAGTTTTTATCCATTTTTAATGTTCCAGTATTTTTGATTTTAGACTTGCATGTTTGATTTATAACCTTTAGAATTATGACTGAATTTCTGATTTTGAATTTTAAACCTCCATTACGAATTTACCACAGTACATCTCATGGTAAATTTTACCATAGTCCATCTCATGGTAAATTTTATCATAGTCCATCTCATGGTAAATTTTATCATAGTCCATCTCCTGATAAATTTTACCGCAGTCCAGTAAATTTTATCATAGTCCATCTCACAGTAAATCATTCTAGAAATTTCATGCCATCTTCTTTCCATTTAACATGTGACATTGAACTATGTGTTAGCAACATTAGTCATACTTCTTGACCTGACTTATAGGGTGAAGTGAACTCATGCCTTACCAAAAGGTATTAGTGCAAAGTAATTGCAACCTACCTCAACCATAATTTGAACTCAGTTTTGTAATTCTATTTTTGGAAGAGTTTAACTTGGGATCAGGTATAAAAAAGACATATTTCTCTTGACATTTTTATTATCATAATCGGCCTTGATAATTTTTTTTTAAAAGCTATTTTTTTAATTTTAGTAACTGAATTTAGACATGTAATAAAAACTTATGAACATATAATTATTGCCCTTATAAAATAAAAACAAGAAATAGGTAATCATGCTTAACTACAGTAAGAAAAACATCTGTAAAACCATAAAAATAACTGGAGGTAAAATTACTTAAGGTAAAAATTTGATGAGGTTTATTTTTGGAAAAAGTTCCCCAAAAGAAGAAAGACAAAAGATATCAAGGTGTAATTTTTATGAAAAATCAATTAATGGCAGGAAATCTATTGTAAACAAATATAATTGCTTTAATTACAGAAAATTATTGAATTCTTAACTGGGGGGGGGGATCATATTCATTTATTAAATAATAATAAATAAATTAGATTTAATAAATGTTAATTATTTTTAATTAAATAAAAAGTTTTGAAAGCAACAAAATAAAAATTAAATAATTGTTATGAAGCAACAAATGAGTTGAACAACAGAATTCTTCTGTTGTTTTTCATTTATGCTAACTCGGTAGACTGACCAATTGAGCATAGGGTTACAGCCTCACCACACTAGGTGTAAAGTTTATATACCAGAGTTCAAAATAAAATTCTTAATTTTACTTTTTTTTTGATGAACTTTAATGACTATTAATAATAAATTTTGATAAGTATTGATTTTCATTTTTTTTTAATCAAATCACCCCAAGTAAGGTGATAAAGCCACTAAGACACAAGTCATTACATAGAGGGAAATAAACTGAGAAAGCATAGTTGAGCAGAAGATAAAAAGAATAAAAGAATAGGATTCAAGGGGAAAGAAGATGACAATGTTGCATTTAAAATCTTTGAAGATTGTATTTAGCAGGAAAAGAAGAAGCTGGAGAAAAGTTCTATATGGTTTGAGAGAAGAAACTCTAATCATAGAACTTACATTTAACAATTTGAACAGTAATAAAAAGGTGAGAACTTGATGCCAATCTGGGACTGCACTTAAATTCCAAGGTACCAAAAAGTAAAGCTCTTCAGGATAATTGCCATGAAATATTTTTATAGAAGAGGCAAAGAGAAGCTATAGTATGGTGGTGGGGAAGTGAGTGAAGACAAGATGCCAGGTCAGGATTGATAACATTGCAGATTTAGTTTTGCTTGTTTTTTATTGCCACTTTACTACAATAGTGAGTAGACAGCATAGATTAGAAATAAAGAACAAGATCTGGCTGAGATTCGAGATTTTATAGTCCATGCTTTTATATGTGTAGCATAAATGATCTTTTGCTCCTCTGATGTTGCTCGTACAACACTAAATACTTCTCTTTCAATCTGCCATTCTTGATTTCCTGCACACATCACCAATGTAAAAATCACTCTGCTTCTCACTGCTTCAGTCCTCTTTTATCATACCAACACCATGTCCGACTGACCAATTAGAATTCTTATCGCTTTCTCCTCAGTTACCCAGTCAAATGGCATGCTCCAGTCTGACCAATCACCATATGATTTGCTATTGGTTGAACCATGCTAAGCTGTACAAAAGTCACCATTACAGAATATACACTTTTGGAATAATCTAAAGTGTGGGGGGGGGTAGATTCATGCCATTTTCAAGGAACAAAATGCCAATGCTATATATGTCATATATTGAGGTAAGGAACTTATTTTTCTTTGCACCAGATAAAAACCACTCTGACTCACTTGCTTCTACACAACTGTTCCCCACAATATGTCACAATTACAGACCATAAGACACTGATTACTGGCAACCAAGGAACCCTCTATCAAGATTCGCTCTCCACCAAGCAGATCAAGGCAAAAACAGAAAAGAACACCCAAGAATGATCTCTGTAAAACATATGGAGATCATCACATAGAACTTCTTCTTTTATATGCCACACCCTTTCAGAACATAGACGATCATGGCCCTCCACACCTTCCTGTCCCTTGTAGTGCTTAATAAGTCTTTTTGCTATTTATTTTTGCTATTTTTCCTAAACCCTGTTCTACCATCCATTTGCTAAAGCTTATCAATTATGTTATGTGCTGCTTTCCTCTGTCCCTCTTTTCCTCAATCTGTCCTGTGAGTATCAAGTTTTCCAAGCCTTCCTTCCTCATTATGTGTCCCAGAAAATTCTCTTCTTGATATTAAATATAAGTTTCCATTTGTTTCTATTTTCTTCAAAAGCTTCTTGTTACTCATTTTCTTTTAGCATCTTTCTGTAGAACCACATTTCTGTTGCTTCAAGTCTCTTCATCTTTGAGGAGATTGTCCAGCATTTTCTGCCATACAGGAGGACAGATATCACATAACAGTTCAGTACTTTTCTTCTTTGTTTCTAACAAAGTTTTTCTGTCTCTTAATACTTTGCTTAGCTTTTGGAATGCATCTTTGGCTATCGCAATACGTCTTTGGATCTCAGTGTATCACACAGAACACAGCTACAGAATTGTGGATTCTTGTCTTGGACAGAGAGGAAAGAACAAGCTGGATGACCCCCATACTCCCATTAAAAAAAAAGCTTACTACTACTACTACTACTACTACTACAACAATAATAAGAATCAATGCTTTATCTGAGAAAGAATAAAAATAAAAACAATACTGTTACTATTAATACTTCTTCTATATGCCATGTGCCTTCAAGATGTAGGTAATCATGGCTCTCCACAATTTCCTATCCATTGTATCTCTTAGTAAGATTATCTTTTCTTTAATTCATATACACAAACTGATTAGAGAGGCTATGTGCTGCTTTTCTTTGGCCCTCGCAAGGAATACTGAAGTCAAGAGGGATAAATTCTTCAACCCTTTTTTCTCATTATGTATACCAGAAATTTCAACTTCCTCTGTGAGGAGATTGTCCTGCATTCACTGCCATATAGGAGGACTGATATTACGTAACAGTCCAGTACTCTTTTCTTTGGTTCTGTTGGGTCAAGTCTCTTCTCCATCTGTGATGAGACTGTCCAGCATTCACTGTCATATTGGAGGACTGATATTACGTAACAGTTCAGTACTCTTTTCTTTTTGTCTACTGATTTTTTTCCTGTTTCTTAATACTTTGCTTAACTTTTGGTAGGCATCTTTCCCTATCCCAATGCAACTTCTGGTTTCAGTGTCACATTTTCTGTCCTCTTTTAAAACCCTTTTCCGACTTGTGATGTAAAGAAAAAAAACAAACATATTACCAAGAGAAAGTTTGCAGACCACAAGTATAGATTTACAGTTAGATTCGATATTCTATGAATTGTTGTGCTCGGTTGTTTAAAGCAGTTTTCCCTGAAGCAAAAGCAAATCAAGCAGGAAAATGAGTGAAAAAAAGAGGAAGTAAAATCAAAATAGGAAGGAAAAGGAGAGAAAATAGGGAAAGAGAGAAAGAGAGAGGTACAAAGAGAATGGGGGGTGGGGGGAGAAGGCAGACTAAAAAGTGTAGGAATAAATACAAAAGAATAGAAGAAGAGGATTTACATAAAAAGAAAGAAGATTAACTGTCTTCAAATAAAAAGAAAATGAGGGAAGGAAAAGAGACGGAAAAAAAAGGACAAAGTGGGAGAGAGGATTAAAGGCAAGAGACAGAGGAAGAGAAAGGGGATAGGTAAGGGAAAAACAAAAAGGGTGAAGGAGAGAGAGAAAGAAAGAGAAAGAAAAAGAGAGAGAAAAAGAAAGAGAGAGAATGAAAGAGAGTGAGAGAGAAAAGAGAGAGAAGGAAAGAGAAAGAGAGAGAAAAGAAAGAGAAAGATAGAGAAGGAAAGAGAATGAGTGAGAGAAGAGAAAGAGAAGGAAAAAGAGCAAGAGAGAAAAGAAAGAGAGAAAGAGAAGGAAAAAGAAAAAGAGAGAAAGATAGAGAAGGGAAAAAGATTGAGAGTGTGAGAGAGAGTGAAAGACATAAAGTAAGAGAGAAAGAAAGAGAAAGAAAGAAAGAGAAAGAGGAAATGTGTTAAAAAAGGAAAGAATACAGAAAGCTTAAATCTAAATAAAAAAGGAAAGAACAGATCAAATGTCAGAAATGGGGAGACAATGAATGAGAGAGAGTTAAATGCAAAAAAAAAAGGAAGAGAGAAAAGAAAGAGAAAGGAAATAGAAAATATGAGAGGCAAATGAGAGAAAAAGAAGGAAAAGAAATTAGATATTTAAAGAAAAAGAGAGAAAGCAAAAAATGGAAGTGTTCTGAAGCACATCAGAAAATGTAATCTGTTCATAAAGAAATAAAACAAAGTAGAGAATCTCTAATCATTATGTTCCTTCCAGCACTGAAGCATGCTGGGTAATCTGACCTTCCTTTCATATGTTCAATGGTGTTGATTGAGGAAAGAGACAGGCATTTCAGTATCACTCATTGTGCTTTCTCTACTCTTGATTTTCTTGATTTTCACACCCACACTTTTTCAAGATGGCAGTTCATCTTACTGCATTCTCATAAAACAGATGTCAAAGGTGTAAGAGTGCAAAGGAGAAACTCTGGAGTGTTTTAGACAAGAACCAATCAAAAGAGAGTAGGAAAAGTGGTAGTGAGAGGCTTAATGCAAATTCAAATATTTGTATGACAGGAAAGGAAGACGCCACTTGCTACTACCATCCTATTCTAGTGGGTTCTGCATTATCTAGATCTGTCAACCTTATAACAGTCAAAATTCACCTCTGGATTTTCTCAAAAATTAAATTGCTGTAGAAAGCAAGAAGATTCCAGATGTGGTGTCCTTGAGCTGCCACAATATTTGATGAAGAAAAAAGTGGGTGAGTGAGAATTTGTTCAAACCACTCTCCCATGACTACTTCCTAAGCAGCACTAACTACAAAAATATTGCTACAATTATTGTCAACTGAGAGGAGCTGAAATAAATGTGCAGAATGTGTTGATGGATAGCCAGTCTAAAAGAAAGAAGATTTTGATTTCAAAACTTTGTTGCCTTGTGGCTATTGGATTAGGTGGGCTCTTTGGTTTTGGGTTGAGATAGAGATTTTATCTGTCGTATATGCATGATATCTATAAAATTGAATGCTGAACCCAAGAGTCATTTTAGGGACAATGGACGGCAAAACAAAATGGAATCCATTACAAGTGGTGTGAACGGTGTATAAATATAGAAATAAAAAGGAAGAATTATGAAGAAATGCAGATAAGGTATTAATAATATTGAACAATTTTATTCAATCTCTTTCTTTGTCAAAAGCTAAACAGAAATATCCTGCTAAATATTAACCAGAATTAATGCAACCAAGAATCAGTCAGTTATGTGCCATGTATGATACACGCTTAGGCCATCATGTATCTTTCAAGACATGCCTGACGAGGCTGTTTTTTTCCCTGCAGTAGGTTGCCATTTCTTTCTGTGGTAGTCCAGTTTCCATCCAAGGCTATAAAACTGGGTCTGTCCTGCTATTTACCCATAGCTGGGGGGAGGAGAAGAAGAGGATTCATAACTTTCCCAAGTGTATTAGCACGTAAGTCAATGCAATAGATTTAACTGGAATTCGAACTCAGCTCTACCGATTACTTTACCATGCCACCTTTAGTCAGTTATGTGCAATGAATGATACATGCCTAGGCAATCATGTATCTTTCAATACATGACTGATGAGGAAGGTTATTTTACCACAGTAGGTTGCCATTTCTTTCTGTGGTAGACTAATTGCCTTCCAAGGCTATAGAACCCAGTTTGGCCTGACTTTTTTAAAAACAACTGTAAGAAAAAGCTTAACCAGCAACCTTTGTAAGGATAATGTCTTTCACTGATTAAAAAACTCTACTTTTCAGGACAACACTATTCAGCTACTGCAAAAATCTCTTTTTGGGATGATACTTTTCAATGACTACCAAAACTGTCCTTATCAGGACAACACTCTTCTCACTCTCTACATGAACATGTAGAGATTTTTGTGGCTTAGTGCACTGTAACCTTATTTTTCTCAATGTATACTTGCTAATATATTTTTCTTACTCAAGTCTTCATTTTGTTTGTTGTTGTTTTCCATCATTCAATATCTGTTTGCAGGCCAATATGCCACCTGTAACAGTATATATATATATATATATATATATATATATATATATATATATAGTAACTTATTTTAAAATGAATAATACACACGCTTACACATATCATACTCACTCACTCCCTAAGAACCAAATAACACAAACACTAAAGAGAGACACATCCCCTCTCCAGAACCAATAAAACTGTCAAACTGACCAGGGGAATTCAGAGAAGCATCCATCCATCCAGCTCTTATCTCAAATAACAACTTAAAATAGACTGTTTGACCAACACAAGGAATGTTAAAAAATTCATCTTAAAAAGATAAAAAAATAAAAAAAACAAATGAAAACTACAGACAAAAGTTCATTTTCTCCATCAAGACATTCATTTCTGTAGTTCACTGCTACCAGAAAGCAGAAATATTTCTTCTCCTGATGATGGCCATTTTGGCCAAAACTAGTCGAGGAATCTAAATGAAATAATAGAGGAATCTAAATGAAATAATAATAATAAAAAAAAAACGAAAGAATATTAATCTACAACCCAGTGTGTCTGAAGATTTTAATTTTTTAATATTTTTTTGTTGTTCATATATATATATATATATATATATATATATATATATATATATTAGTAACTTATGAATAAACTACCCCTCAAAAATGTATAAGAATTATATGTAAATTTAAAACATTTTTTCACCCTTGGGAGTGTGGTCTGATGAACCAGGTAAAAATATATACCTGGGGAAATAAATTATAACCAATGGACCCTTAAGGTTGTCTGTTTTCTATTTAAATTGAATAAATAATTGTTCTGATTTGACATTGAGCTCTCTGGATTACATCGTCCTTGGGATTATCCATATGGATTACCAAACTTTTCATTACTTAAATATATATATATATATATATATATATATATATATATATATATATATATATATATATATATATATATATATATATATATATAATACTATGATTTGATTTGATATAATCTTTCCACTTCATGTTTGTGGAAAATATTAGCCTGAGAAGTCATAACAAGTCACACTCCTGGAGGTTAGCATTAGCCAAGTTGACGGAAGGCAGAAGAAGGCAATTAATAGGGAACAGTTTCATTTTGGAGGTGTTAAAATTAACAAGCCATTCCTTGCCTCAGTTAACAACAGAAAGTAGATCATTTTTTAGATCAGCTGGCAATTTGACCATATCAAACAAATCAGACTTACTGTTTAGACAGGAGTAAATATTTGTGTCATCAGCATAGTTACTGAGTTGAAAACTGATGCCATCAAGAAGGTCATTATTGAAAATTCAGAAAAATGTAGGTCCAAGGATAGAGTGGTCAGGGAGACCTGCATTAATGCAAAAAGATCTAGAAGGATATCTGTTCAAGCAACTTTCATTTATTGATTTGATAAGAAAGATTGAATAAGTTTTGTATTAGAAATTTAAAATAGTTTAAATTGGCCTAAAACTTTTGCATGCTGCTGTATATATAGAAAAAAATGACTTGTGAGCCAAAGTTTCAAGAAGGAAATTCCACCAGCCACAACTGAACTGTTTGTCATAATGTCAGTTTTTAACCTGAATTTGTTCATGAAAAATATCCCCATTTTTTGTAAAAAACATCCGAACAAAGCCACAACAACATGTGGTATTGTCACAAAGGGTCATGGGAAAATGTATTTTGATGAAAGACATTTACAGCTTTTCATTGGATATGTTTTATTTTCTCATAGCAGATAAAGAGACTTAGTTCAGAATTAACTTGTGAATATAGCACAATGTGCCTTTAGAGTTTAAGAATAGAAAGCAATATATCTTTATAATAGAGAAAAACATGATCATAGATTCATTTTAAAATAAGTTACAAATTTAGAGGTACTTATTCTTAGTCTTCTGTACTATATATTAGTATATATATATATATTTATATATATATAAATATGCATGTATACATACATACATACATATATATATGTATCCATATGACTGAATATATATATATATATATTTATTGCTAAATATATATATATATTGCTAAATATATGTATATATATATATATATATTGCTAAATATAACAGTGAATATCTATTATGTTTAATCATGAGCTTTAGTTTCAGGAGAAAATAAAGACAAAATCTGTCCAACATTTGGATATTTTTTTTTTTATCCTGGTCCTCAATCTAACCTTTCGACTCACATGAGCCATCATCAGAGTGGTTATATGGACATTACAACAGAGATGTTTACCATGTGGGACAGTTTTTGCTTTTATTTTATTCCGAAACTGAAGCCACTATATGAAGCTCAAAACGACTCATGACCAAACATAATAAACATTCATTGTGTTATATTTAGCAATATATGTCTGCATAATGATCTGCTGCCCCAATACACAATATATATATATATAAATATATATGTGTGTGTGTGTGTGTGTGCCTCTGTGTGTGTGTGTGTACTACAGAAGACTAAGCAAAACGTTGTAAAAAAACAAAAAACCACAATGTTGGTGTGACCAACAAACAACTTGCCGGTAGACCTAATACCTGAGCCAAGAGAAAAATCCCGAACAAGGAAAGAAAAAAAGAAAGACAAAAGACCTACCTACTTATTAAATTAAAGTGCTCAATTCAGAGAGACTATCTAGATAGAGCAAAAAGTGCTTCACATCGTCAACATTCACTGAGGGACAGCTAGAGTTGTAATTCAAGTTTCACACTCTCATAAGCTTCAAGTGACTAGAACCCCTTATATATATATATATATATATATATATATATATAGTTAGTTTATGAAAAACTAGGTAATCCGTATAGGTAAACTTAAGGAGGATAAAATCCAGAGAGCTCAATGTAAATCTTTATGAACCCCCAAAATAACACTTTCAAAGTAAA